TTTTCAAAGTTTATTAAGGCTTCAACAACACAGGTTTTTAGCCTACTTTAGTTAAAATTTATACAAGAAAAAGAAAGGAAAATATATATATGTATACATTMAATTTTGGAATACRTTTTACTACATTATTATAGTTATTATTTACAATGGGTATTTAGTGTTTATATTATGGAAAAATGTATTGATTGCAACTGTGTTTTCATCTTTGAAGGCTTGATAGAGTGATGCTGGATTTTGGAGTATCTTGCGTGTTTCAGTGAATTTGGGGCAGATGATTACGATATGYTCAATTGATAGAGTTACGTTGCAAGTATCGCATATGGGTGCTGGTTCTTTTTTKATGAGATGTACATGGGTTAAGAAAGAGTGGCCTATTTTGGCTCGAGTAATTTGTATTGATTTTATAATGTCAGTGTTTTATTTATTTATAAATAAATTACTTTTGTGACTGAATACATTATTTATAGTAAACAAAATTATCTGATTAACAGCTTAAAAGGAGGTTTATTTTTAGGAATTGGATCTAGTTATTACTTTTGGAAGGAAGAATTAGAAAATGATCAGTATATTTTTTTAAATAAACGGGGAAACTTAAAATAATAATAATAATAATATTTGTTATAATTTTAATATATAATTAAAGTAATATTTAGTAATTTAAGTTACTACAAAGTTAAACTTTCTTCGTTAAGAGCCGTTTTTATCACTTATTCTCTTATCATTATTTATCATCGATTTAACACTTCTATTACAGTATCAACTCAATGACGATGTACGCTCGACTTCTATTGCACAGTGATCGGTTACCTACATTCCCCCTTTTTTTCATCGATTATTTCATAACGTTAAAAATATAAGACAGTGTCTACATTTTAAATAACTGCACTTAAAATTTGTGTTGTATCTTCAGTTTATTAATGTTAATAGTATGATTATATTATACAGGCAATAGTCTAGAGTAATATCTTATAGATACAAATTTAGAAAAAAWTCCTTTTATTGTCACATTTTCGTTTTTAAAACTTATCATACGTTGTTAAAAAATATTGTTTTATAAAGGGGTTTTAGAGGAGTTAATAGGTTCGTTAAACGCTTGAATGAATGAATTCGTTCATTCATATTATTATTATGCTATTTATGCGTATCCACCCGGGTCTTATCTTTATAATTTTRTAACGGGGGCAGTGGGTATGTAATAAACATACATTAATGTGAGTTACCACTAAACGATTGGTTTTTCGTTTTACAGTTTTTGGCGGCGGTGATTTTTTGCTGCGCGGCAGTTACAGTAAACGTAGCGGACAAATCAACAGAGATACCAATCGACAAACGGAGCACAGCCAATGGTTACGGCTCTTACGCTGGTGGTTATGTTCCAACGGTAGATTACGGTGCRGCGGCCGGACAAGAAGGCATTGCGGCCTACCAATACTCTGCAGCGGCCCCGATCACCACCGGCCAATACGCTGCGGTTCCGGCTGCTGCATCCATCGGTGCCTTAGTGGTGCCCACCAACCAGCTGTTCTACCCGCAGCAACAAACGTATGGATACTCGTCAGCTCCAGCTTACGCTGCCCCGCTGACTTCAGTGGCTTATAGTGCCTATCCGGCCACGAATTATGGCTTCCAGTCACCCACTTACAGTGGCAGTCAATCTGCTGTTTATGGTGCCGGTCAGTCAGCGGCTTATGATGCTGGTCAGTCGGCCGCTTACGGCGCCGGCCAGTCGGTCACTTATGGTTCCGGTCAATTGGCTGCTTATGGCGCCGGCCAATCGGCCACATCTTACGGTTCCGGTCAATCGGCTGCCACCGCTGCTTACAGCTCACCACAGATCGCTTCATATAGTGCATCGTCTTCGACACCATATAAACCAGGACCCGTGACTTTCGGCAAACCAGAAGCTGATTTGCAAACCAACTTGCCACCATCGTACCAAACGTCCCCGGGACTTGGAAAATACGTTTCTTCGTCTTTCAAGACCAACAAGTATCCGTCGTACTCGCCATCTTCTTACCCGTCAACGTCTAGTGAATACTACGCAGCACAGCAGTCATCGTCGTATGGGTCACCTTCCAAACCCGGTAGTTACCCATCCTCTGTGTACCCGTCTGAAAATTCGTACAACAAATTCAAGTATTTGCCACAAAGTTCGTTGTATGGCGGATCATCATACAAACCATCCCCATCTGCCCATTACAAGCCATCATCGCCATACGATGCGTTCGCYCCATCTTACGGACAATCTTCGTCCTACTCGTCTTCACCACAAAAGTACGGTAGTTCCCCCTCATATAGTGGTAGCTCTCACTCATATGGTGGTAGCTCCCTCTCATATGGTGGCAGCTCTCCCTCATATGGTGGTAGCTCTCCCTCGTATGGTGGTAGCTCTCCTTCGTATGGTGGTAGCTCTCCCTCGTATGGTGGTAGCTCTCCTTCGTATGGTGGCAGCTCTCCCTCATATGGTGGTAGCTCTCCCTCGTATGGTGGTAGCTCTCCTTCGTATGGTGGTAGCTCTCACTCGTATGTTGGTAGCTCTCCCTCGTACATTGGAAGTTCTCCTTCGTACAGTAGTTCGTCATTATACGCTGATAACTCTCACTCACATAGTGGTAGCTCTCACTCATATGGTGGTAGCTCTCCCTCATATGGCGGTAGCTCTCCCTCGTACGGTGGAAGTTCTCCTTCGTACAGTAGTAGTTCGTCATTATACACTGGTAGCTCTCCCTCTTACAGTGGTACGTCTTCTTTGTATGGTTCATCATCCCCGTATAAACCGTCGTATGGATCATCATCTTACAAATCATCATCCCCGTACAAGGCGCCATACAGCAGCTCCGGTCCATCATATGAACCGTCATCCCCTTACAAATTGTCCCCATATTCTGGTGGATCGTCCTATGAAGGATCTTCATCCGGTTCATTCAAACCAATAACTTCTTCCTATTCTCAGAGTGAATATGAATCACCGTCATCTTCTCTTTACAGTTCTAAGCCAAGTTCATACGACTACAGTTCTAAATATTGACACTAATACAATGTTCCTTTTTAGATAAATTAATTTGTATGATAAAAGACGTTTAGATTGTATGTTTAAATTAGAAACTTGTGTTTTTTTTTATCAATCATACAATTAAGTTACTCTTGAACTGTTAAAAAATTTTAAATATGCTAGTTCACAAATATTTGTTTTTGTATTAATATTAAGTGCTTTATTTAAATTACATTTATGAATTAGTGATTAAATTATATTATTATAATATAATAATACGTTATTTATTTGATCAGAGATCATAATTAACCGCAATCAAATATTATATTTATGAATTATATAAACAAAATATATCTATAACTTTTTTTTTACACATTTAATGATTTATAATTTTTAMACCTAAATACTAAAAAAATCAATTCATATTCCTTTATGAAACAAATTGCTCTAAAATTAATTTAAAAGAAAAATATGTCGAGTCGAATCATAGAGGTGTTTCTGTTATAGAATGCTAGGATCAAAATATTCTTTAACAATAATTTGATATCATATTAAATTATATTTTTTAATAAATTGATAGTAGATTTAAAACTGGAAACAATAATAGAAATTAACTTGAACTCTATTATCAAAGCGTTTAGATATCATATACTCTATATAGTGAGATAATAATACACCGAATCTACAAACGCCTACTCGACGCTCTACCATTGACACCGGTTCCATTATGGTAGGGTGTCTCGTAGGTAWACGTAGAAAAGATTTTMGCCGGGTCTTGGCGTTGTCTCTCGTTAGTRTAAGTTCGTATTCWTATTTGTCATAACACATAAGAGATATTATACTATATTTTACAATAATTACCTTTATTTTTAACCATATAATCTAAGTTAATGTAATCATTATTTTGTACCATACTTGCATGGTTGAACTATACAAGGTTATTGCATATAATATATTCCCTCTCAATCAAATATTCGGTGATAAAAACAAAAATGGCAGCGTAAAGAGAGCCAATAATAATCAAGTATAATAGCGCGRGAATTTTAAATTAGTAAAAATTATTATTTTATACGTAAAATATGTTTTGAAGGAAATTGTATTGTTTACTGTTCAGCATGGTTTAAATTTAAATTATACAGTATATTTAAATTTTCAATCATGAGGAAGAATCTTTTGATCAAAGTAATTTAGAAATTTTAAGTTCAGTTACTTCTTCAATGGCTGGATTGCAACATATAACTGGTTTTGTTGCACATCACTTTAAAAACCAATACGCTGAACTAGGCCAATTACTCATAGGTTTGATGTTAAAAGCAGATACAAACTGCCCAGATTGGATTTCGTATGCATCCAGGGTAAACTTGACTGTTCCATCTCCTGAGTTGATGAAAGTGGCTAATGTTATGGATAACGAATTTAGTATATTTCATGGTGAATATTTTTCAAAATAAAATAAAATAATCGACAAAATATTAATGAAATGTAAAAAGTATTACAATAGTAACTTACCAGTACCAGAAGAAGTTCTTGCATACTTAGTCCGRACAAGAACACTAATTTCCATAAGAGAAATCAATCAAAATTTTAAGCAAAAATATGTTCAGGATAAAAGAAATAAAATAAAACTATCGAAAGTAGTAAATATAATACCTCAAAGTATCCAAACAACTTTAAATCTATCTCATTAATAAAAAAAAATATCACGTATATAATAATAATGACTTGAGTAAAAATTGTATTATATCATAGTAATAAGAATAATTTAGTTTTAACTTTTAAGTATGACTGTAATGAATATTGAATAATAATAAATTTTAACTACAACTGTGCAATTACTAATGAGTGACAAGTTCTATTTTTTATGCGAGCGTATTTTTCATGATAAGAAAAATTGATACATGTAATTTGTGATATCCCTTTATGCTGCCATTTTGTTTCAGATGATAACAATCCTAGTCGATATGCAATAACATGTATATTTCAACCATGCATACTAGTAATAACTCCTAAAAATCAACTAACTTAAATTTTAGTTAGAGTAGGTCTTACATATTTTTATTAATTTTATATGGTTAGGAATTAACTTTTATAGTAAATGTTTAAATTTATATGATTTAATTTAAATTTAAAAATTTAACAATTTAAATTGTTAGTAGGTATATATAATAAAAACGTTTAACTTACCAATCTATAGGRTTTACTGAAAATAGATATTTTTCTATTAAAGTTCAAAACTTAATTATAAGATATTAATATTTATTAAGTTTTTTTATCATTTTCCAACATTCAAATTATTAGGAATTATATGGTTAACATTTTTTTAAATAGTTAATTGCTGAGTTTACTAGAAAAAGTAAAACCGTTATTATTCCTGTAAGTATTCAGTTTCAGAAATTAATCTAACCTAAAATAACAAATAAAACATTATTAACCAAGAGAGTTAAAGGTTTTTTGAAATTATTCAGTTAATGTAGTGTTAGAATAATATAATTTATATAGTTTTACATGTGTTTAATTTTTAAARGTTTGGTTAGATTAGGTACCAATATAAAAGTATTGATATTAGATAAATATTATATCGATAAAATGGAAAATTATTTAGTTAGGATAGACTACACACACTTTTAAATATTCAATATTTATTAGGAATTAATGACAATTTAAAAAATATTTTGAGATCGTTTGTTTAGTATACTATTGCCAACTTATATGAACAATTATTTATTAATA